AACCATTCTGCTGTTCAAGGACATAAGGGGAGTGTACTTTATGAAATGGCCGGCTTTGTTCCCTTTCTTCAATGGCCTCATCCTATTTACATGGCATCACCTTTGAAACCATTTTCTTGTTTTTTTCTTTTTCCTCTTTATTCAGACCTATGAGTGAAGTGAAAAGATCATTAGGGTACATGGACACATCTGGAAAGCAGTCCTTTATTATTATTGAAGATATGTTTGTCTTTTTGCTTGCATAAGCACTCTGAACAATGCACGCTTTTGCAGAAAGCTAACCTGGTGAGGCTAAAGATGAAGGCCATTATTTTTAGAGAAAACCATTGCCATTTTAGTAAGCCATTTAAAACACATTCTTATTATCGCTTTCCCCTGTAGGAAGGTCATCTCAATAGCTACAGAAGTTTTTCTTCTTCTGTACTCAATAGGTATTTATCTCCCTTTCTTTCCTAAGACACTCTGGACCTACATTAAGTCCACAGATTCACACGTCATTAGAGCTTAATGTGATTTATGTTGGTTTATGTGTTGGGTGAGCCTAGCTGTGATTAGTGTATTGTGTATGCTGGAAACCAGACCTTTATATTGCAACAATTTCAATTTCCTAGATATTTTTTAAAAATAGCTTTTTAAATAGAGAGGAGTCAAACACAAGTAGTCCTTGACTTACAATAGTTCATTTAGTGACCGTTCAAAATTACAATGGCACTGAGAAGTGATTTATGACCATTTTTGCAATTACAGCCTTTGTAGCATCCCCTTGAAGTACATTTTTTTATTTTTTGTTTCTATATACACATCATTGTGTGAACGGTGTTCAATAGGGAAGCCAGATTCACTTAATAATCGGATTACTAACTTATCAACTGCAGTGATTCACTTAGCAATGGTGGCAAGAAAGGTCGTAAAATGGGGGCAAAACTCACTTAACAGAAATTTTGGGCTCAATTGTGGTTATAAGTTGAGGACTACTTATGTTTGACTCCTGCTTACCTGTACCTGATGGGATCTAAGATTATAAGACTGTTAATATCTGATGGATATTAACCATATCCAGTTAGGAACTGCAGAGGAGCTCCAAAAACATATCTAAGATTGTATCAAGGCTTTTGATAATTTAAGGCACAACAAAATGTGAATAGCACATCAGGCTGCCTCATCACCCTAAGGAAGAATTTTGTACACTGATCAGAAAGCAAATAGCTGGGATGAAACTGCAACTAAATACTCTGGGAGTATTTCTTGAGCTTCAACTGTTCCTGAATTTACTCTGGCTATGGTAGTTTGGCTATGGGGCAAGTTACAATCCTTCTCAAATCAGATGGATCTAGTAGTACCAGTAGTTCTCATCTATTTTAGTGTGCTCTATTTAGGACAACCTTTGAAAAATATCCAGAAGTTGCAAATAGTGCAAAACTAAGGTTTTATTTTGCAAGAGACAAAAAAGATATGGTGTCTGTACCAAAAGCCTGCACTAGTTGTTAAATGCTTACTGCTCATAATATTTTTGGTGTTGAGAAAATCTAAAGATGAATTGTCTATAGAGATTCTCAGTCATTCAGGTCATGGTTGTCCCAAAGGTGCTTTTTTAAGAGGCAACTGAACTTTCTGGTTTTTCTTTGAAGACATTTTGCTTCTCATCCAAGAAGCTTCTTCAGCTCTGACTGGATGCTGGGGAATGGATGGATTTATACCCCTTGCAGACATATCCTTGCAGTATAAATCCTTCCATTCCCCACCATCCAGTCAGAGCTGAAGAAGCTCCTTAGATGAGAGGTGAAATGTCTTCAAAGAAAAAACAAAGTCCAGTTGCCTCTTGAAAAAGCACCTTTGGATTGCTCTTAATTGTTAATCAACATTGGTTGCTCCTTACATTGGAGTTTTAAGCTGTGGTTTTTGTTTTGTGGTTTCCCATATCAAATGCTTGTTTAAATACAAAACTAAATAATCTTCCGTGTTAAGGCAAGAGATCTTTCCTGGAATGGTGTGTAAAATTGTATGATATATGATATGTAAACACAATGCTCCAACATTGGAAGTTTTTAGGATGAGATTGGACAACCACTTGTCTGAAATGGTATAGGGTTTCCTGCCTGAGCAGGGGTTGGACTAGAAGACCTCCAAGGTCCCTTCCAACTCTGTTATTCTATTCTATTCTATTCTATTCTATTCTATTCTATTCTATTCTA